CCCTTCTCATGGCACGCCCTTCTCATGACACGCCCTTTTCATGGCATGCCATTCTCATGACAGGCCTTCTCATGACACCCCCTTTTCATGGCCTGCCCTTCTCATGGCATGCCCTTCTCATGACATGCCCTTCTCATGACACCCCCTTTTCATGGCATGCCCTTCTCATGGCATGCCCTTCTCATGACACGCCCTTCTCATGACACGCCCTTCTCATGACACGCCCTTTTCATGACATGCTCTTCTCATGACATGCCCTTCTCATGACATGCTCTTCTCATGGCATGCCCTTCTCATGGCATGCCCTTCTCATGACCACTGCATGCCCAGAAAATGTGAACTTTCTTTTTTTTTCTGATAATGGTAACCAGTGAATTTCTGCAACTTTCGGTGACATCTGTGAATTTTAAAAAGGTCTTTTTACGGTTCAGCAGGATGTTGAACTGGATCAACAATCGTGTGCCCACTGGTTTATACAAATATGAACATAGCATTCTATGTTCAATGCAACATTCATGCAAAAAGGGTCCTTTATTGTTTGAAAAAAAAAAAAAACTTTTAGTGCCTGTAATCCTGAACATAACACTTCGCTTCTCTCCATTTAACAATTTATTTCTCATTATAAAACATATTCAGCAATATGAAATGCATGCAAAAGAATTGAACCCTGTCAGGTAAGGATCTCACTTGCACCCCTTCAACCTGCAATAAGCAAGTGTATGTATTCAATACAGAAAAGTAAGTACACAACTGATAATCACTAAACCCAAAAACGGGTAGGAATATCAAACGTATCATTTCAACTGTTAACCCTGTATAAGCATGTCTTCATTCATGAAAAATTAGTAACTGAGCAGGCAGCATTACCCTTTGTATTCTTCAACCCTTTCACCATGAGAAGCCGTGAAACCGATACCTCCACTTGGGTCCAATTCCCCATAAATGTCATTTTTCTGACTTGTCTGAAGCGATCAGTTTACGAGACGCATTGTTAATGCTATCAACTGTTTTTGAGCCTGCACAAGCATTTAGGGGGAGTCAGTATATAAATATGTTACTGAATAATAGCAACTGACTTCCTTTAAGCTAAACTGGCTGTTTTTTAAAGCAAAAGTGGCATTCAGTAAACCTCAGTGTTAGAGGTCACAGTGTCACGGCATGAGTTGCCTAATGTATGTGCATTTAAGGCCTGGAAAGGGAAGAGGGAAATATTCCATTTAATGCTTCACCCTGTTTGTGTTTACTGATTTCTTCTTTTATATATCTTTATATTTAAGTTTACTGTGTACGCTTCAGAACCAACCCCAGCATTGTTTGGCTGTTGTGGATTCTCTAGGCAAATTTTACATTCAGTAGTTTGCCACTGCCCCTTCTGAGCGGTCAGCTTTAGGTACCACTCTCAAAACCAACTCCATTCGCAGCTGAGTTCAAATCCGGCACCTCGGCATTACAAAGCATGTCACAGATCAAAGCCACAGATGCCAACATCTCTTTATACATTTTGAAATTTCTTTTTACAAAGATAGATAAATAGATTTTAAACAAATTTATTAATGATGTGGGCATTCTTTGAAATTCTGACCAGGGTCATGACCTGCTTCTTTTTATATCTTTTTAGTTAAGTGTTCCCAAACTGAAACTGTTGAAACTTGAATCCATTCGACCTTCCATAATGAAAGGTAAATACATGACTGATAATCGTTCAACTGTGAACAGTTACAATTATCATATATAAAATGTTAACACCTCTAGTCCTGTCAATGGAGTGATGGCATAAAGAACAGCCTTGCAGAAATGAACATCAGTCTTAATAGTGCTCTTGGCGAACGAAAGAAGAAGAATAGTGCTCTTAACAGAGCTTATCAACCAATGTTACATCTCACCCTGATACTTCGATGAGGTACAATGTGGAAGAGAAGAAGAAGAAGGAGAAGATTCCTGTCAACCATAAATCAGTGTGTGTCTTCAATACTGATAAGTAAGTTCACAGTTAACAATCCTCCGACTGTGATAGGTAGGGAGATAATACAATTGCACTAAACCCTGACTCCTAAGGGTATTACTAACAATCCTTCAATCCACACATGATTGTATCCCACTAACAATTCTTCAATCATGACAGTAAAGAGAATCAATCCTGACAAATAAGGGTATCAAATTAACAATCCTTTAATCCTGACAATTAAAGACATCACTGACACTAATATCTCTTCTTCCCAAACAAGTAATAATGTCGCTTAGCTTGACAATCATTTCAACCAGACTGAAAGTGGCATCACATATATACATTATTTTGACCATCACAAATTAAAGAAATCATCTACAATCCAACAACCTGACTGATAAATGTATCACATACATTCCTCTGACCCTGATAGGCAAGGGTATCACAGGAAAGTTATCATTTCCGGACGGGTAAAGACATCATGAACTCTCAAGCCTTTACCCATAAGTGTAATCACATACATTCTTTCACCTCAGTCCAATGACTCAGACATGTAATTTATTACCAATCCTTTAAATCTGACAGGTTAGAATTTACATTCTTCTAATTTTGGCAGGTAAAGGTAGGATCTACAATTCTTAAAAGTTTGTCTTTACATTATTTTAACCTTGGCTTGTAAAGCTATCAGCTAAATTCCAGTGAAATGTGACTAAAAAGCTATCTGCTGCAATCTTTACAAGTTAGTGTTTATATTCTTCTAGCTATGGCTTGTAAATCTATCCCCTATAATCTTGACAAGTTAGTATTTATATTCTTCTAGCTTTGGCTTGTAAATCTATCCCCTATAATCTTGACAAGTTAGTATTTATATTCTTCTAGCTTTGGCTTGTAAATCTATCCCCTACAATCGTTACAAGTTAGTATTTATATTCTTCTAGATTTGGCTTGTAAAGCTATCCTTTACAATCTTCACAAGTTAGTCTTATATTCTTCTAGATTTGGCTTGTAAATCTATCCCCTACAATCGTTACAAGTTAGTCTTATATTCTTCTAGATTTGGCTTGTAAAGTTATCCTCTAAAATCTTTACAAGTTAGTCTTATATTCTTCTAGATTTGGCTTGTAAAGTTATCCTCTAAAATCTTTACAAATTAGTCTTACATTCTTCTAATTTTTGGCTTGTAAAGGTATTATATTATTTACAATCTTTACAAGTTAAGTCTTCATTTTCTAATTTTTGGTTTGTAAATATATCCACTACAATACTTACAAGTTAATGTTTACATTATTCCAGCTTTTCTTTACATTCTTCTGGCTTTTCTTTACATTCTTCTAGCTTTTCTTTACATTCTTCAGGCTTTTCTTTACATTCTTCTGGCTTTTCTTTACATTCTTCTGGCTTTTCTTTACATTCTTCTGGCTTTTCTTTACATTCTTCTGGCTTTTCTTTACATTCTTCTGGCTTTTCTTTACATTCTTCTGGCTTTTCTTTACATTCTTCTGGCTTTTCTTTACATTCTTCTGGCTTTTCTTTACATTCTTCTGGCTTTTCTTTACATTCTTCTGGCTTTTCTTTACATTCTTCAGGCTTTTCTTTACAGTCTTCTGGCTTTTCTTTACATTCTTCTAGCTTTGGCTTGTAAATGTAGTATCTACAATCTTTCAGTCCTGTATATTAAATATATAATACATATTCATATAGTTTTGCTCCTGTTGCCAGGTATACCATATTTACTTCTTTATCACCCGGGAAGCTTCAACCACCAATAGGTAAATGTTACCAAGAAATATTCTAGAACTGTCTTCTGAAATAATCTCATAGCAGATATATCATATCGGTGCTTTATAAATATCTTACCCCAAACAGGGGAAATCCATAAGGTCACGGGACAGTCTAATATTTCAGGGGGTGGTAGATAGGCTGCATGCAGTCATGGGACCTAGGCTGCACTCTCTCATGGGATGTAGGTGGGTTGGGGTTAGGGCCAGTTCTATATGTTTTGGGGTCTTTAAAAGCATCAGACAGCCGGGGAACAGGGTCTAACCACTTTTTAAAATTTTGGACTGTCCTGTGATGTCATCTGGGGTAGGATATTCATAAAGCACCATTATATCTGGCACAGATGGCTTTAGCAGTGTTTTCATTTTTTTAATGGTCAATCTTTAGCATTCTTTCTCTTAAAATTTAAATGAGTCTTTACGTAATGATAACCTTCTTTCCTCGTATACCCTTTGTAATTGCTGATCCTTGATTTAGGCAGCGGCCCACAATCTTTTGTGTTATGTAGCTTATTATTTTTATTCATTAACAAAAAAAAAAACTCTTTCTAACTCCAGCAATCCATGATGTATGACTGGCTGTTTCCTGGAAGCATGTATCATGTTCAGATACTTTCTGTGTTTGGCTCTTTCAGTCACCCCATACTACTTTTCCTCTTTACTACTTTCTTACACAACCCCCTCCTCCACCCCACTTTTAAATATTTTTTGGAATCCATCTGCTGGGCTTACATTCACGAAAATACGAGTATAACACAGTTCATACATCTTTCTCATCCTGTACTCTATTACTTGAAAATGAAATTAAAAAAAAAAACTTTTCCTCTACATAGCTTTCTTATCCTTTCCTCCTATAAATCATTCATAAACTGTCCTCTTGTATGGCTTTCTTATCATTTAATCATATATAGCTGTCGTATCATTTAATCATACATGGCTTTCTTATCCTTTTATCCTATATAACTTTCTTACCCTTTCCTACTATATAGCTTACTTATCCCTACCACTATACAGCTGCCTCACCCCTTTCCCCCACACTGAAGATAATTAACCTGTATCCACCTACTGGACTTTACAAGCCCCCAAAACATCACGCACTTCAGTCTCTATCCCCTGTATATATGGATGCAATGTCAAATCAGTCTGTTGGCTGCCATTTAAGGTATTGGAGCAGTTTGGGCGGTGACTCTGGAACTGGCTGCACGTATGTGGACATAAATTGGTTCTGTATGCACTTATTTTACACAGGACAATCCATGGACCTAACAAAGCTATTATTATACATCATCCTCTTGTGCATATCCGGACACTCTAGCACACAGGCAAAACGATATCACAATTCCAAAAACCTGAAAAGAAAGAGGAAGAAAAAATTATTCTTTATGTCAGTGTATGTCATAGGATGAAGAATATTCTAAGTAATTTATCTTTGTATACTGAAGTGAGAAAGATAAATCTGAAAAGCTATATAGTGTCAATAGTGATGTCCGACATTCTTCTTCCACATTCTTGTTTCACATCACAAGAATGAAGAAACTTGGGTATGATGTGTGAGTATGCTGTGTGAGTACGTAGTACATTGTGTGTGAGTACTCTGTGTGTGAGTGTGCTGTGTGAGTACATTGTGTGAGTATAATGTGTTTGAGTACACAGGCATATTAGGAAAAGAACAAAATTAGCAGCATATCCTTTACAGCAGTGCTCTTCAAATTTAATTTTTAATTTTTTGGGACCCAGAAAATATGAAAAATATCTAAGAAGCTAAGCTGACAGGCTAACACAATGCTGGCATTCAGCGGCTGCTCATTTTCCATATACATTGAGCATGTCACTTAATCTGCAGCAACGTAGCTTCCATTATGCAGTATATACATTCATAACAACAAAACATTAGCTTTGCCATAAGGGGTGACCACAAAAGAAAAAACTGTGAAAGTTCTGGCATTTTAATGCAATCTATAATCTAATTTAGAGAAACTAAACCGGACTTGTAAGCAACAGTAACTCTACACTCTATAGACAGCAGTAAAGAGACATGAAATGCAATACTATCAGCAAGAAAAAAACCAGAACAAAACACACACAAATCAAAATAAAAATAAAAATGAAAGGAGAAAAGAAAAAGAAAAAAGCATACAAAGGCACTGAAATACCAAGTAATTTAGAGCCCGGATATGAAATGTCAGTGGGATGAAACTTGAAAGAAAGGCAGAAATGGTTATGAAATTAAAGATTGTTGAAATAACAAAGGTTCTTCATGCCAAACAGTTATTATGCCATACTAATATTTTGTGGACACGTGTTGTGTTCATATATGTGCATACTGTGTTGACATTTAGTTATGCAATATGCCAAAACAATTCTTTTTTTTTTTTTACTGCCAACACAAAGTATTAACTGGATTTATATTTGCATAAACTCATTAAAGAAATGTGAGATGTTAATATAAAGCAAAATCAAAAGTTAAGGAGAGAAAGTGGCTAAAGTAAAGGGAGAAAGTGGCTAAAGTAAAGGTAAGAAAGTGGATAAAGTAAAGGAGAGAAAGTGGCTAAAGTAAAGGTGAGAAAGTGGCTAAAGTAAAGGTGAGAAACTGGCTTAAGTAAAGGAGAGAAAGTGGCTAAAGTAAAGGAGAGAAAGTGGTAAAAGTAAAGAAGAAGACGGTGTCGATGGGTTTGAAATTGTTGCACCTTTTAAAGTTATTGGTAAACTAGTCATTTATGTTAAATGTGCACATATTAGGCTAGTTCAGCCAGACTTAATAACTAGAAAATATATGGAAACTATAGAGATGTTTATAGAATAAATCGTTAAAAAAAAATCTGTGTGTGTGTTAAACCTGAACAACACTTTTGTAAGCAAATAAATGAATGAATGAAGCAAGGGACACAAACATGACGTATGCAAAACCAGGGAGAAAAAAAAAATCTCACAGGAATTTAAAAACTAAGTGTATGTCTTAAAAGAAATAGAGGAAGAAAACTATATAATGAAGAAATGCAATCAGAATAGGACACAAACTGAAAGGGGAAATAAGAAAGAAAACAGGAAACTGGAAAAGGGGGAGAGGGCGGGGAAATAAAATACCCTGATGTTGAAGAAAAGAATTTAGTCACAAAACGAAATTATTAGACAGAAAAGAAGAAATAAAAATAACAATACAAATGAAAAAAGGAGCTGTGGTGGGACAATGTCTAATGCTGGCCTCACAGACTGAAGGTCTTGGGTCTGAACATGCATCTGGGAGAATTTTAATAAAAACACCCGTCCTGAGCTCTCAGATCAACCAGGCCTAAAACTGGGACCAGTCCTGGGAGGTAAAGGCAGCTGGCAGAATGCTGACTCCATCACCTATAAAGTACTAAGTGGTCTATAAGGACATTTGTTTAGCCCCATTAGCCAGATGCAGCAATGTTGTGAAAAAAGTCTTTTTTTTTATTTTAAAGAAGGAAATAAAAGTAATAACATCAAGAAACCGAATAAAATAATGAAACTGAATAAAATAATGAAAACTAAGATGTCCAAGAGAAACCTTAAAACAAACACTAATAAGAGAGGCCAAAGGTACTGGACCGGATTCCATCCATATTGAAAGAATTGAACAGGCCAGAAAGGAATGGAGGAATAGACTGCTAGCCCCATTAGACATGTAACAGCAAACAGGATGATAGTACTTTGAACCATTCACCACTACATCCATCGTCTGCAAATGCCACCAAGTTCCTCTTCTTCTTCCTGTTCACGGGCTGTAAACTCTAGTGGAAAGTTCTGGTTGTTCTTCAATCTGGACTTAAGTCTGGTTCCGGAACCTGAGTACTGTGTGCACATCTGTTTTACAGATCTGATATTTTGGTGTGCAGACTTAGTTCCTTGCCTCTCGGGCAGATGCACTCCGACTTTGAGGAAAACTCCCAATAAGTCGACCCCTACACGATATGCCTGTTGGGGAGGTAGTGGGTCTATTCTTGTTTTCTCCCCACTGAGAATCTAGAATTCACACAAAGACACCAAGTTCTATTTTGTGATAATATCTGCTGACTTGAGTCAAAATTTCACATTCCACATGCGAGTTTATGGACCCTATCAGGAGAGGAAACAAGAATAGATCTACTATCCCTAATACCCCAACAAACATGTTATAAAATGTGTCTAATTAGGGCTGTCCTGAAATCAGATGTATTGGGCTGAAAGGCAAAGATACTGCAGCCTAGCTGTAAACCAAAACACAATGTACCAATCGTCCTTTTAAAAGTGAATGCAGAAAAAAAAGGAAGAAGCAGAAGAAGAAGAGGAAATAAAAGAAGAAGACGAAGATGAAGCGTAAGCGGAAGACGAGGAGGAGAAAGAAGAAGAGGTAGCAGAAGAGGAAGAGGAATGAGAAGACAGAGCAGAAGTGGAAGAGGAGGAGGAAGAGAAGAAAGAGGACGATGAAGCAGAAGAGGAGGAGGAAGAGGAAGAAGGAGGAGAAGAAATAAATACCCAGACACAGTGATTACATTCCCATCAACTTGCCTCATGTGCTTGTATTAAAAAGATAGCCCATCCGTAACCTTTCCACACAGCTATTTTTGTCACCAACAATGGCACAGTTGATAAAGCCCCACCCGTCACGCGTGACAAAATCCCAACAATTTCCCTTACAAATAGCACATAATGGCTCATTTATGTGGCTCTAGCCTTGACTAATTTTCAAATCAAAACAATTTTTGAATCATTGGAGAAAGAAATTGGGCAAATTTAGATAATCGAAACAAACTGGCCAAATGACACAGGTGTTTTTATTTGTTTCATTATGTCTGAGTTTGGTTTTTTAAATTTAAACTCTTGCATCGGTGCTATTCAAAATTGAATTTAAAAAAAAAAAAAAGAAAGATTTTACAGACAATTTTCTTTTGGGTGGGTGTGTCCTACTGTTTATGCTGGAAATATTCAGAGAGGACTTAAATGTAGCTTGTCTTCTGCCAGTTGCAAAGCTTGTGTTAATGTCATAACACATTTCTGTAGTTTCTCTCTTACTCCACCCACCCATACTTTCTTGGTCTGCCTCTTTACTTGTAGCCCGTTCTTCTCATGTAGTCTACTCTAACTGCTGGCTGATTTTGTGCTATTTTGGAATGTCCAAACCACTTAATTCTCTGATGTTCCAATGAAATCATTTACAAGTACTGTATCTATCACCGTTGTTAGTTCTTCGTTGGTGACAGTTGTAATGTTTCTCCTCTGTACAAAGTCTCCCTCATACAGACTCGACACTAGCTCTGTTGTCTAAGGGGCAAGATCACAGTACAGACAAGTCAAACTTCTCTTCAGCTATCACACGTCTCCAAATGACAGTCAACGAAGGTTGACAGCAGTTCACAGGTATTTAATCAATACAAAACAAGCAGCAAGAATCAACATTAAAGCCAAACACTTACGGCACTTTGACAGGGTCCTTTTGCTCACACTCCAAGTCTACAGCCACGTTTCAGATGATGAACACTGGCATGTACACAACCAATGGGCCACAGAACACAACTGTTGTCCTCAACTGTAATCTGACACAGCTTCACTCCTTGCCATTCAGGACTAACATTTATTCGGGTTCCATCCAGGTCTATGTTCATACCTCTCACTGTGGATCCAGTTTCCCGTCCTTTCACTCTGGGGTCCGGTCACAGAATGACCAGTTATTCTTACCCCCCATTGCCTCATATTGCCCAAGCAAACTCACTATATCTCGCGTTCTTCCTTTCCCATGCTTACCTCATTGCATGCAACCAGGGGACTTTCCTAATTCTAGTAACCAATCAGACCTCTTATTCTGTTCCTATATTTAGCACCATTACAACTGTTCTCTTCTTGTTTTCCAGCTGCATTTCTTATACATCTCATCTCACATGTGTGTTTAAATATATGCACATGAAACAGAACCTGGAGAAAAACAATCAAGAGGGAAAACAGCTTTCTCAGTATGGACTGTTATCAAATATATCATACTTTCAGGACGAGTATACACCTGGGATTGAAGTATGAGGCACTCCATAGCATTTAAGCCATTAAAACTTAGCACAATAAAGCCATACCATAATTAGAACCAACATTTTCAGCACAGTCGACTTTTTCACTTTATCCGTAAAGAATGAAAATGAGATAAAGAGTTTTAATTTGGAGTTTGTCATGTGGGATCTGAGGTAAGGAAGTAGGAGACAAGAGAAAGAAAGAGAGAGAGAGAGAGAGAGAGAGAGAGAGAGAGAGAGAGAGAGAGAGAGAGAGAGAGAGAGAGAGAGAGAGAGAGAGAGAGAGAGAGAGAGAGAGAGAGAGAGAGAGAGAGAGAAAGAGAGAGAGATAGACAGACAGCGAGAATAGGTGCAGAGAGACAAGAAAAAGTATGAGAGATAGACATAGACAAAGAAAGAAGACAGAGAGAGAGTGACACAGATAATACAGTCAAAGAAAGAAGACAGAGAGAGAGAGAGAGTGACACAGATAATACAGACAAAGAAAGAAGACAGAGAGAGAGAGTGACACAGATAATACAGACAAAGAAAGAAGACAGACAAAGAGAGAGAGAGAGAGAGAGAGAGAGAGAGAGTGACACAGATAATACAGACAAAGAAAGAAGACAGAGAGAAAGTGACACAGATAATACAGAAAAAGAAAGAAGACAGAGAGAGAAAGTGACACAGATAATAAAGACAAAGAAAGAAGACAGAGAGAGAGAGAGTGACACAGATAATACAGACAAAGAAAGAAGAGAGAGAGAGAGAGAGTGACACAGATAATACAGACAAAGAAAGAAGACAGAGAGAGAGAGAGTGACACAGATAATACAGACAAAGAAAGAAGAGAGAGAGAGAGAGTGACACAGATAATACAGTCAAAGAAAGAAGACAGAGAAAGTGACACAGATAATACAGACAAAGAAAGAAGACAGAGAGAGAGAGAGAGAGAGTGACACAGATAATACAGACAAAGAAAGAAGACAGAGAGAGAGAGTGACACAGATAATACAGACAAAGACAGAAGACAGACAGAGAGAGAGAGAGTGACACAGATAATACAGACAAAGAAAGAAGACAGAGAAAGTGACACAGATAATACAGACAAAGAAAGGAGACAGAGAGAGAGAGTGACACAGATATACAGACAAAGAAAGGAGACAGAGGGAGAGTGACACAGATAATACAGACAAAGAAAGAGCCAACAGGCACAACACACCGTTTAAGCCATTAAAACTTAGCGCACATAAACCCAGACCACAATTATAACTACAGCTGTATTCAGCAAGACTGAGCGTGGTCAACTTTTTAAAAACTTTTTCTGTAAAGAATCAGTGAATGAAAGAAAAAGAGAGAGACACAATACACACAGAATAAATTAACAAAACAAAATCTATGTTTAAAGGGTCACAAAGTATGTAAAAAGGGGGAGGGGGGTGGGGAGAGAGAGACAGAGAGAGAGATAAAGAAAGACAGGATGTTGGCTAGAGTGGGGACAGATATCACGATGGAGATCTGAATAAAAGAGATAGTATTCTCTCAATATCTCCCCCCAGGATGACGTCACAGGACAGTCCAATATTTTTTAGGGTGGTAAGGGCAGGTTTTCCAGCTTTCTGATGCTTTTAACTACCCTAAAACATATACAACTGGGCCTAACCCCAACCCACCTACGTCCCTCAAGAGAGTGCAGCCAAGGTCCCATAACTGCATATAGCCTTTCTACCACCCCCTAAAATATTTGACTTTCTGTTTGGGGGGAGATATTTGGATAGAACCCAAGAGACATAAACATATACTGCACAGTTTACCACCTTTAAATGTTACTGCATCTCATCAGGATCTTGCTATACAATAAATAATTAAACAGGATGACATTCCTGTGTGGGGGTTCAAAAGAAAAGATCCACTGTTCCATAAACAGCATGTCATAAAAGGCAACTAATAAACTCTTTCAATCCCAAAAGGCCCACGCCAGTGCCCTCAAGAAGAACAAATGGCAATACTAAACTCACAGATACACTACTTCTCAACATCAGCATGTCATTTACAGAACGGGTTGAAGCACTTGTCCGGTGATACAAGATATAGTCGGTCAGTTGACAAATCAAATTTACTGCACAATGAGAAAGAAGACAGTCCATAAGTGTTAGATCTCCTCAGCATACCCTTCAGCGTGCGTGTAGTGGCTGACGGCACTAGTTTTATGTGGCTTTGTTCTTTTTCTACATTGTGTGTGTACGTCTGCATGTATCTGTGTGTGAATGCATGCATATGTGTGTGTGTGTGTATCTATGTGGATATGAATGTATGTGTGTGTGTGAGTGAGTGGGTTTGAGTGTGTTTGTGTGAGCGAGTGTGCACATGTATTTTACCATTCATGCTTTTGTGTTTTTGCTTCATATTTCATAATATGCATATTTTTATATGAACATAACATGTTTTATTGATAGAATATAACTGCTGTGTGAAAAATATGTGTCTGCAAGGGCCGAATGCAACACGTGCTTGCGTGCCCAATTTGTGACCCTCTGAAAATAAAGTTTGTTCGTTCTTTGGCTTCTGGCACAGTACGCTTGTTTAGCTTGACCGCCTTTGACTTGCTGGTTTTGTAGTTTGGTCAAGGTTGCAGACTTGTTCATAGTCATTACTTTATTTGCATAAACATCATCTTACTTCTAATGAAAATTTCATTATGTCAGTCTAGTCTTCCTTTCACAACAGCTTTGTTGGCAAGTTTATCAGTTTTCTCATTTCCCCTTAAATCTACAAGACCTATTACACAAATGAAACAGATCTTAGTAAAGAATACAAAAAAAATTGCAAGTCACAAGCAAGTGATAACATTAAGACTAAACTTACCAAAAATAGAGGCACAATGGCTGCGACAGTCCCAACAATTGCTGAATACTGTTTCAGATGGTCTATTAACCTGTCGTAGCAGCCCTGAAAATAGTACACACAAGATGGTGAAGTCTGAATTCGTCAAACTTTGTCACAAATTCAACATTCAACACAGTTGTCACTTTGCTCAGACCATCTCCCTTAGAAAAAGTTACAGTGCTAGGGACATGCCTATGTTGTCTTGGTCTTCCTTATGAAAAAGCACAGTGCTCAGGACATGTGCACATGCTCGCTGCCTCTCTCAGCAGATGTCCCGGTTATGCCAAATAGGTAAAGCTTATGGAAAATTCCCCAATGTGTGTTAGCTCCGCCTATTTACACACTAGGTCACTTTTGATTGGTTCTTGCTCAGGCCTATAAACTTTGCTGAAGGTTACGGGGGTTATCCACGATACCGTTGATATCGCGTGTTGTATTTTTTAGCATGTCAGCGCTTTTAACGCTCCAAAACATTGCAGGACTGGCCCTAACACAAACCCTCCTACGAGAGTGCTGCAACCTATGTCACAGGCATTCTCTTTCTTAGAATAAAAACGTAAATGGAAGACAATGCAGAAAGCTTTTCGAGCAAACAGTAAAGTGAGACACTCCCCTAACCTTCAGCAAAGTTAACGAGCCTAACAAACTTTGAATGAAAAGTGACCTATGAAAAGTGACCTAGTGAGTAAATAGGAGGAGCGAAACCAACATTGGGGAGATTTTCATAATATTCACCGCCAAATGTTGTCAGTCTTCCCCAGATGTCAAAGACTACAGTTACTATTAGTTCCTGATTCCACCTATCAGTCCCCATGGCCAAGTGGTTATGATTAGGCATATCTTGGCTTTTTCTTCTACCATGATTCTTTTCCTGTTAGTGCATATCCAACATCAAAATATATATCCAAATTATAACCCTGATGGACTGAACAGACATTGGTTTTTAAAAAAAAGATGCTAATACTAAACTATCTGTTCCTATAGAACGTGGTCTCCAAACTGGGGTGTGCGCACCCTAAGTGGACATGAGGAAGTCTCAAGGAGGGAAGGGTGTCAAGCAATTTTGAAATTGAATGCAACAATCCAGATATTCAGCTTCAACAGTCATGAAAACAAAACAGCTTTGCCAGCTTGATGTGGCTTATGGCTTATCTGAAACAGACCAAAACTAGCAGATATCAAAAGTGTCAGCCATCACAGTGATATCTGGATACTAAACTACCTGTTGGTGATTGTTTGTTTTGAATTATATTCTTGTTCACATTACTTGGGATTTTTCAATGTCATCCTTTTTTTGGAAGCACATTTCGTTATACTGGGCGGTGGGGGTAAGGTATCTTGCCATATACTCAAGAGGGGGTTAGGAACCACTTATCCAGAGGGTTGTGTAGCCTAGCTATTCAACCTCTTCATGTCCATACACCCTGAACAAAACTTGTGTTCACAAATCCCTAATTAGTTCATCAGAAATATTATCAGTGGTATTGAGGGCTTGCCTGTCAAAACAGTGGTCTTGCTTCAATCCTTAGCAGAAGCTAGAGGGATTTCTAGGACAGGCATTGCTCTGAGCGGAAAACCATCATGCTTGTTTGCAGGCCTGAAGGTTAGAGGTTCAAATCCGCAATGAACTGGAACAAGAACTGACCCACTGCCTCCCCATAATGCATGTCATAAGAGTTGACTAACTGGAGGCTTACTTCAAAGTCAGAGTCAATCTGCCTGAAAAGCACAGAACCAACAATCTGCATAGTATTAAGTTAGATCTGCTAAACAGATGTGCACGCAACACTCAGATTCTGGAACAAGTCTAAAGTCCAGAGGTGGACAAACGACCAGAACTTTCCGCCATAGTTTACAGCCGGTGAACACGAAGAAAAAGATCACACAATTTGCCAAGTACTTACATTTATATACAAATATGGGTTGGTTTTCCTCAGATCCTGCCCATCTTCTATTAGACAGCATGGACTATGAGAACAATTGTGCTTGCATTCATCAGACAATTTGCCAAGTACTTACATTTGTATACAAATATGGGTTGGTTTTCCTCAGATCCTCCCTGTGGCCATGGAAAAAACGTGGGGGTCCGTGGAATTCAGCCTCTCCAATACACATGTTTAGGTCGCCAGGTGCACAGCAACTGTCTGGTACTCGTCTGTTTGGACCCTCTGTTGAGTTTATGATCACTTTAGTGAGACATGTTGCTACAGTTATGATAGCAGCTATTGATTTGTCATGCTACAGGGGGGATCATTAGTGACAGATCAGGCTATAGACCATTACTGATAGGTCATGCTTCAAATAAGACCATTACTGAGAAGTTATTAGATCACTACTGAGAGGTCATGCTATGAACGAGATCATTACTGACAGGTCACACTACCAATTGGATCATTACTGATGGGTCACACTACAAATGTAATCATTACTGACAGGTCATGCTCCAAGTGAGATCATTACTGAGAGGTTAAGCTATGAACAAGATCATTACTGACAGGTCATGCTCAAATTGAAATCATTACTGAGAAGTCACACTACAAATAAGATCATTACTGACAGGTTATGCTGCAAGTGAGAACATTACTGAGAATTCACACTAGAAATGAGATCATTACTGAAAAGTTATGCTAGGAATGAGATCATTACTGAGAGGTCACGCTATGAACGAGATCATTACTGATGGGTCACACTACAAATAGGATTATTACTGACAGATCAAGCTATGAACAAGATCATTACTGACAGGTCATGCTACAAGTGAAATCATTAATAAGAAGTCACACTACAAATGAGATCAGTACTGACAGGTCATGCTACAAGTGAGAACATTACTGATAGGTCGTGCTACAAGTGAGATCATTACTGATAGGTCATGACAAGTGAGATCATTACTGACAGGTCATGCTACAAGTGAGATCATTACTGATAGGTCATGCTACAAGTGAGAACATTACTGATAGGTCGTGCTACAAGTGAGATCATTACTGATAGGTCATGCTACAAGTGAGAACATTACTGATAGGTCGTGCTACAAGTGAGATCATTACTGATAGGTCATGATGCATGGGCAAGACAAGGTCTCTTTACTATTGTTCAGGTTTTGTGCTATGGAGAGAAGGAGCTTCAACACGGATCTTAAATGCTCTAAAAGATCAAAATACATGTGATGGCAACAATGATCCAGAAATCACACATTCTCACTGTGGTAGTCTTTTCTTAACAAAGGCAAGTCCTGCAAATCACACTTGCCAGGGCTGCGAATTCCATGACATCCTAAAGCCAAATATCTTTTTCTTTTGTCCTACTGTTTATGCTGCTAAGATTCACAGAAAGGATTTAAATTTAGCTTTGTCTTCTGCCAGTTGCATAGCTTGTGTTAATGTCATAATGCATTTCTGTAGTTTTGCTTTTACTCCCTCTATCCATGTCTTTCTTGGTCTGCCTCTTTACTTATAGCCTGCTGTTCTCATGTGGTACGCTCTAGCTGCTGGCTTATTTTGATCCATTCTGACTGCATGTCCAAACCACTAAATTCTTTGATGTTCTATGAAATCATTGACCTTTACTGTCTCTACCATTGTTGTCAGTTTCTTGGCTGGTGATTTCTCTTCTTGTTTTTCCGCTGCTGCTGTCTAAAAGACGGAGTGGTGACCCACATATACTCCATTAATATTTACTTCTATACTGGACCCATATGTATGTCAATTTAGATGTACATGTAAGCATTTTAGGCTAACCATCATTATTAAGCAAGTAATTCTTCTTCTTCTTAAAGTCCACGCTGTGTGGTGTTGGTAATCATGTGATCAACAACCTTCTTTCTCATATACATTCAATCAACTCTGACACAGATGATCCACCATGCATGCCATGATGTCAAACAGTCCAGCATCTTTTCTCTTGGTCTTCTTCTGCCTCTCCTTCCCTCCAACTTTCCTACAGTCACGAGATACTCCAGTTTTCTCCTTATCATGTCATTTAAGCAAGTCATTATACTACTTATCAGGAGACTGCTGAAATCAAATACATTGGTCTGAAAGATGCAGCCTAGTTGAAAACCACACAAAAATACGCCAACCACACTTCATATGTTCATGAAGAAACTCAGTGAAAATTCAGAATTCACTATTTATTGTAATTTCTCCCCCTGAATATCTGCTCCAAAGCCTTAAGCGATCAAAAGAGTTTAGTATTGACACAATCAATACTCGCTAGCGCTAACAGCTCTGCAAACTAACCACATTGAACTCCAGCATGACCCAGACAATGGCAGCACAAGCCACAAATATACTTTAACAAATACAAAAAATAAACATTCATTTTGGTTTATCCATTTTTTTTCAAACAAATTATATCCATTTACCATACTTTAAAAATATGAATAATTTCCAGAGAAAACAATGATGGATTTTAAGAACTCTGATTATATTCCAGAGATTCACCATATCTTACTTTTCACTCCAGACCATTTCGTCTTTGACATAAAGTACATCCAGGAATCGAATGAGGTAACATTGCCTACAACTCCACAACATTCTAGCTGCAAGGAAAAACATATAAATTCACATTAAACATGGTATTATTTGCAATCTTTACCGAATAAACACATAAGTTTTTAAAAGTTAAAGTAAAGGACAATGTTTCCTTACTGACTTACCTAGTTGCTCCTGTTCTACCTTGGGGTGTAGAGGTTTGCCAGAGAGATCGCCATAGTTCTCTATCAGCAGTTTTCTTTCTGGCTCTGTTCCATTCCAGCCCTTTGTCAGTCGGGGACTGTCAGATGTTGTCTCCTCAGCAGACCCTAGGTCACCCTGGAGGTCTGGTTCCCTGGTTCTTAGCCTCCCATGCCTGCCATGGTGGCCAATTATCTCCCATTTTGCATACGATCTAACGGTGACTGATCCCTGTTTGTAAGGACTGAGTTTTAAGATCTTGACATACTGTCTGATAGCGAACTGTCTCTTTTTGTCATTTGGACCCCCTGTCTCAGCTATTTCATTTCTGAGGCCCGAGGCTGGCATCTGTGAGCTGATGTCATTGCCCATGACTCGCACCCCTTGATCAGGACTGGCACATAGGCAGAGTGTTAAACAACCATTTTCGTCCTCTTGCCAAATTCTCTTTTGCTAAGAAACCTTAGGTTTATGGCCAGGAAAAGTCTCTCAGTTGCTGCTTTCCGAGTAGCCAGCTTGGTCTTAATGCCTCCATCTCAGTCTATTATAACTCCAAGGTATTTGAACTGGCTGATCTGCTCCAGTGCATACTGTCCCATCATGATCTGGTGTTTCTTCTCCCCTCTTGAAATAACCATAGTTTTAGTTTTGTAGATACTGATGGATCATCTTTTTCTTCTCAAGCTCTTCCTTCCCGACAAGTAAGTTAGATTGAAGATGTGCCTCTGATTTAGACCCTGTTTATGCTGGCAGATCAGGCATACAGAGCTAGACTCATACTTTTTGTACACAAATTGGCATAGACTACATTCATACACTACTGCGGTAAACATCATCTCTGGCAACTCCCCAGTGTGTGTGTGTGTGTTTGTGTGCGTGTGTGTGTGGGGGGGGGGGGGGGAGACAATAGACCCACAGACCCCTCCCCCCTCCCCTCCCCAACAAGCATGACATAAAAGCTGAATAAATAGGGGTTTTCTTCAAAGTCAGAGTACATTTGCCTGAGAAGCGAGAAACCAGTAGTCAACATACAAAGAAGCCGAATCTGTGAAACGGATGTGCACGCAAAACTCAAGTTTTGAAACATGACCAAAGTCCAGAAATGGATGAACAACCAGAACTTTCTGCTGCCATTCACAGCCGGTGAACGAGGAGGAGAAGAAGAAGCAGGAGAAGCCCAGACAAGTTTATTTCCCAGGCTATAAGCTGGTACCCATCTTATGCTGGGCCAACCTGACAGTCAAGGTGAAGTTTGAAAACACTTTGTCTCATTGTGGATTCAAATCTAAGTCTTTGGGACTGCAGGCGAGCAATTGTCATGTTACTGGCTCTATTATACCACTCTTTAGGGCATTCTAGGCAGGGTGGTCAGATTTGGGACTATGAAATGCAGAGGTTGGGAATTCAATATTTTTTCAGCAGCAAAAATTAACCATCTTAGTGAGGATTGAAAACAGGGATTAGTGAAACAAAGGCTAGCTTTCAAACTGCTCAGTTAGCCTAAAACAGGGAGCAGGTAATATCTTGGGAAGTAAAGTCAGCTGGCGGATGTTGACCACATCTCCCACTGAGGACAGATTTAAAGTTCTTAAACTTATCTAGAAAACTTCTTTTTCTTCTTCTGATTCCCGTCTGTGAACTCCAGCAGAAATGTCTGGTTGTTCATCCACTCCTGAACTGTTAGTCATGTTCCAGAACTTGAGTTTTGCATGCACATCAATTTTTTTGGCAGATCTGGCTTATTTGTTTGCTGACTGTTGATTCCTTGCCACTCAGGCAGATGCACTCCGACTTAATGAAACACCCCTTAATTAGTTTCTGTTTACAGTATGCTAGTTGGGAAAAGGGGGGGGGGGGGGGGCAGGCAGTGGGTCTACTCCCTCCTCCCCTTTGCACCAAATGGGACCCCGGAACCTATACATGAAATCTAGAAACTGAAAACTGGCAGAGCTGTTGGTGAGAGAAGCCAAAAGTGCTGGACTAGATTTCATCCATGATAGTGATGTGACTGCACAGGATAGACAAGGAATGGATAAATAGACTGTGAGCCCTATGTTACATATAACGGAACAATAGGACAATAAATGAACAAACAACTGCTGATACCAGCAATTAAGCAATTACCCTACGTACTGGAACTCTGCGCTGGCTGCTGAAGATGAGGACGGAGCACAAATGGGAATGCCTCAAGTGCTGTGATGTCAATTCTAGACTCAACTTAACAACATACCCTACATATTATAAACTCACATGAAGCAACCTAGAAACAAGACATCTTAATCTCAAGAAAAGTTCACCTGTTTTTGCATAAAGCATCACAGACTTCGATGACATGAACTACTACTGAACCTCAATTCATTTTTTTTTCAATATCCGTATTGGCTTGGTGATTTCCATCGCTTCTCCTTAACATAACATAACATAACCCTTGATCCGTTAGGGTCGTGGAGGTGTTTTGATGGAAGCATTAGCACATAAAACCCGCAACTTTTCTCTGTCTTCCGCTTAATGAATAAGTGCGTGATAATTCAGTCCTGTCCATTTCTGGGTGGGTCAGTTCAGGTTCTTCTTTGCCCTCCTCATCTTCGTCTAGTCCCTAATGTTCCTTGAAGCACAGTCTTTGCAATCCAATCATCTCTCACCACTTGCCCAAAGCAAGCTGGCTTGCGAAATTTCGCTACTTCCAAGAGAGGACACTGATGTACCGCAAATTTGTATATTTTATCTCTGCCATATTTGTTAGTTTTGTGTTCTAAAAAAACTAATTCGTGAAATGTGTCTATAGCATTTACTTTTGAAAGCTTGAATCCTCCTTTCCATTTCCACAATGGGAGTTCAACTCTCACATCTGTATAAGAAAATAGGCAATAACAGTGATTTGTGTATATTGACCTTAACTGAGATGCTGATTTTGCTCTTCCACATCGTATTTTGTTTCTCTTTAGGAAAAGTCCAGTCTACTGCCTTATTGTTTTTGTCAAATAACTGTAGATATTAGCAATTACCCCACATAGTACAGACACACAGCCACATACAGTAACCTAGAAGCAGGACACCTTAATCTCAGAAAGCCTTTACCTGTCTTTGCATAGCATCCCAAGCTTCTGTGATGCGTCTGTTCTCTGTGTTTGTCCGCACATCGTAGCCATAATTTACTGACAGTGTGTCTCGCATCCTGTCTTGTATCTTGTGTGCTAGCTGAAAATGAGCAAATTAGTTTGACATAAGTCATCTATGTAAATACATCATCTATATAAATATGGATGTTTTGTTTCTTATAAAATAAAAAAGTGAAACAGAACAAATGAAGTATTTCTTCTCCTGTCCTTTGTCTCACAATAGAACATAGGCCTTCACTTAACTCACACTAAGACCTCCTGTTATTTGCTATAGCATGCAGCTCATCCCATGTCTTCACTATCCTTTAAGCTGCATTCTCTAACTCCCTTCTCCATGTGTTAGGTATCAAGTACTTCACTGACTGAGTGTTTCTCCCCTTCCATGTGGCTAACTGAAAGGTTGCTGGCTGTTCAACCCCTTCCAAGTGGCTAACTAAAAGGTTGCTGGCTGTTCAACCCCTTCCAAGTGGCTAACTGAAAGGCTGCTGGCTGTTTACCCCCTTCCAAGTGGCTAACTAAAAGGTTGCTGACTGTTTATCCCCTTCCAAGTGGCTAACTGAAAGGTTGCTGACTGTTTATCCCCTTCCAAGTGGCTAACTAAAAGGTTGCTGACTGTTTATCCCCTTCCAAGTGGCTAACTAAAAGGTTGCTGACTGTTTATCCCCTTCCAAGTGGCTAACTGAAAGGTTGCTGACTGTTTATCCCCTTCCAAGTGGCTAACTAAAAGGTTGCTGACTGTTTATCCCCTTCCAAGTGGCTAACTGAAAGGTTGCTGACTGTTTATCCCCTTCCAAGTGGCTAACTAAAAGGTTGCTGACTGTTTATCCCCTTCCAAGTGGCTAACTAAAAGGTTGCTGACTGTTTATCCCCTTCCAAGTGGCTAACTGAAAGGTTGCTGACTGTTTATCCCCTTCCAAGTGGCTAACTAAAAGGTTGCTGACTGTTTATCCCCTTCCAAGTGGCTAAATGAAAGGTTGCTGGCTGTTTATCCCCTTCCAATTGGCTAACTGTTAGGCTGACACCCCTGCGACTCAAAGAGTCACAATCTGTATACTAATCCAACAGGGCTAGTCCCAGATATGTCATGAGGCTGAGGATTTAAAGTTGCCTGGCCAGTGAAGGCACCACGAACTGTGCAGGTGAGAATTTTTATTTCACCTCCACTCCTTACTAAGGACTGAACCTGGCCTGCCTCATAAGAGACCAGCACTTAAACCACTCAGCCAGCCACTCCTCTAAAAGCTATAATACTACAGTAAAAAATCATAATAGATAAATAAATAAGACAAATAAAACTGCAATTATCACTCTTGCATATAAAATAACCTGTTCCTAATAATCATTCTTTTTCTACTGGGGCATGTAGTTAGAAGGTTTTCAGATAAACGGAGGGATAAATAAACATTTGATAGAATGTACACAACAAAAAGGAAAACTGAAAGAAACAATTTTATGTGTTGAATAAAAATGTCCATAATGAAGAAGGAAATTGAAAAACAATTACAGATGTTTAAATTGAAACCACAGAAGAATAATCAAAAGAAGATGTTAGAAATGGATGAATGGATTCTGATAAAAAAACAATAGAAGACAGTTTTGCAAAGGACTTCATCAGAAGGAGAAAGCTTGAGTTCAGCAACATCACAGGGAAGGGGGGAAAAAATGCAGCATAACAAGAAACAATAAGTTTCAGGAACATAAGCTCATTAGGCATCACAAACCTCTTGCGACTGCTTCTTTCTATTTTTTTTTTTTAAATTCCACTTCCCCGGTGGAGCAGAGGCTCTCAACTAATTTACGTAAGTGGTAGCATCTTTTAAATGTTGCTCACCCCATTTATTCCCCATCTTTATCACTTCACTCTCATGTGTGTGTGTGTGTGTGTGTGTGTGTGTGTGTGTGTGTGTGCATGCGTGTGTGTCTGTGCGCATGTGTGAAGCCACTGTAATGAGGTGAATAAGACTCACGAATAAGAGTTCATTAGAGATTCCAAATTTCTTGTAATCTTGTCCTTCTGCTCCTCTTTATCCCCCAGCGGAGCATAGGCTTTCAACTAATTCACGCAAATGGTAGCATCTTTTGCATGTAGCTAACCCCATGTAATGCCCATCTTGTTCAATCCCCGTCTAAAATTTTTTTTTTTTGGGTCGTAGTAATGTCGTGGCTAGCTAGACCTGTGGTTTTCAAACTTTGTTCAGGTGGCATCCCCTTGAAAATATGGCAAAATCCCTGTGCTCCAATGACTTAAAAGAAAATATGAGATTTAAGAAAGGATGAAAGAAAACAAAAATCCCAAGCACTATTAACAAGAACCTGGAAAAAAAATATCCACATAATATTACAAGCATAAATGCACTCAATTTCAAAACTGCTTGATGCGCCCTTTGGCACCTCATAGCACATCCATAGGGGAAGTATGCCCGCCAGGTCAAAACCACTGGGCTAGACACTAGTCTGCCATCCTGAGGGTCTTGAGTTCCCATCTGGATCCAAGCATTTTGTTTTTCAAAATTTACCTTGGCTGTCAGGTGAAAACAGCCTAAAAGGGGAACCATGTATGTGGGTTCCAGTAGAAGCACATTTTAGTCATACTGTTATCAAACATTCTCAGTATGTGTCCTATCTATTGTCAGCATCTTTTTCTTAGGATGAAAAGAGTTAAGATATAACAGTGATAAAAACAGCACAAAACATTCACTTCATAAATGAACTTACTTCACTTCTGAAGAAGAATGCCAGCCCACATGCTGCTCCCAACACAATCAGAACAATTGCAAGTGTAGTCCCATACTGAAAATTCCATAGAGAAACAATGATAACGTACAGGGTGCTTGTAAAGTCACACCACACTTTGAATGCAGAATACATTTTTTTAAAAACTAAGTACATCACATCATTAAAAATGTGCTTAAAAAGTTATTAAATTAGTTAAAATAGTCACTGCTGTGGTCTAATGGTTTTTGGGGTAGCTGGAAAGTGCCAATGAAATATTCATTACAAAAGGTGTTGGTAATGTTCACCACAGCCTAAAAGACATGACTGTACAAGTTTTTTGCATAATATCAAATACCATCCGGGTGTACTGACCCCCGTTTTAAAACACTTGTTCAACCAAATGTTCTTTCTTACATTGACAACAACATTCTGTTCTGAGTTCAAAGAATAACTCAGTGTGATGGTAGCCACTCACACTGCAAACCGCTTGACAACGAGTGTGAAGCACATTTTTTGATGACATCATGTACTTCATTTTTCAAATTTGTTGTACCTGCAAACTGTAGCAAGACTTTACAAACACTATGTATTAGACAGCAAAAAAGATAATCCTCCCTGTCCAATATGGGGGATAGGGTAGCTGACTGTTCTCAGCCATGGCAAGTTACCTGCTTCTGACTATGGTTAGCTGTTGTATTTTCCCTCATATTTTAACTGAAAAGTATACAGTTCCGTCACCCAGCCACTGGGACGAGTGCATGGCATGACACTGTAAGTTGTGGGTTTCATTCGGAGTGCTTTTTTTGTTGTTGGCATGTGTATCAGTTTTGTTGGCATGTATGGCAGTTTTGTTGGCATGTGTGGCAGTTGTTTTGGCATGTGTGGCAGTTTTGTTGGCATGTGTGGCAGTTTTGTTGGCATGTGTGGCAGTTTTGTTGGCATGTGTGGCAGTTGTTTTGGCATGCGTGGCAGTTTTGTTGGCCTGTGTGGCAGTTTTGTTGGCATGCGTGGCAGTTTTGTTGACATGTGTGGCAGTTTTGTTGGCAGTAAAACTGACACACTATAAAACAAGACAAAAATACTCACAAAGGAAAGCACACACTTGTCCTCTCTTATGGTCCCGCAGCAGCCACAGAAAGCCAGCAGTGCAACTGCCCCTCCTCCTGCTATCAACAAATACGTCGTCACCTCGTACAACTGGTTACCCACTATGGGAGTCACTTTCCGTGCACCAAAATCTGTTACCAGCAACCAGATTCCAATCCCTAATGCTGCACACCCAACCAACTGCAATGGAGATGTAGCACATTATGTTAAAATGATGAACTTGATCTCGTGTTTAAACTGTTTTTGTTTTAACACACTCTTGTATTAATGTGCTATTACATCAATGTGATATTATATTGTACTAAGGTGATATTGTGTTAATGTGATATTATGTCAATATGAATTGTAATGCTGAACTGATATCATGTTAATGTGATATTATATTAGTATTGTGTTTATATGATACTGTATTATTATGATAATGCATTAATGTGATACTGTGTTAACATTTTACTGTACTGATATTGTGTTAATGTGATATTGCGTTTATGTGACAATGTGTTAACACTGTACTGTGTTGATATTGTGTTAATGTGGCACTGTATCAATACTGTGCTAATGTGATACTGTGTTAATATGGTACAGAATCGTTGTTGTGTTAATATGATACTGTACTAATGTAACATTTGGTTCACAAAATATAATATGTTAATACTGTATGGAGGTAACATAATACTGTGATAAAATGACAGGATAGCGTTGACCAAAAAAAAAAAATAATACTGTGATAAAAAAATAACATGATGTGGATAGCTGAAAACAGTTATCAGGTGAATCACGTTGGCTAATTCTCAGTCGCTATTATGGAAGAAGAGTTAAAAATGGACAACCGTGGTATGAGTGAATACCAAGCATCACCATGTCTAAATTTAAGGGACTCAAGCAGACATAGTGTCTGTGCAGAGGTGCGAAGGAATTATACAGTAGATCTTTTGGCTACAGAAGTGATCATCATCATCATCAGGTAGGCGTGGGCAATCATGCCTCTACATAATCTGCGATCTCCTGCAGCATGTATCAGTTCGGGTGTCGACACAACTCCATGCCCTGCAACAAGACTGTCAAGCATCTTCTCTCGTTGTCTTCCTCTATCCCTCCTTCCACAGATCTTTCCAGTGGTTACAGCATGTTCTATTTTCCCTCTTCCCATAACATGGCCGAAAAATGATGACTGTTTCCTTCTGATGTCTGTGATAAGTTGTCTTCGGGCTCCCGCCTCTTTCAAAACCTCTTGGTTGCTCTTTTTGGCTGTCCAAGGTACAGAAGTGATAGCTATAGAAACAAATACTGAACAAGGCAGACATTCTACTTATGGCTGATGGTAGGGACTATTTTAGACGAAACAACATGTGCAAGGTGATGGGTAAATTCGGAATTAGGTGTGGACCTGGAAAAAAAAGTGGCATGAGATGAAGAGAATGATGTACCCACTACTGTATGCTACAAGAACAGTCAGCTTCAACACCTTAGGACATTTGTTAGGAGAGATGGAGCATTTGTGGGTGTGTCTGGAATGCTAAGATATCAATTCTTAAATCAGCAATCATCTATTGTGTTAATATTACCTGATATTGTGATAAAATAATCAGTAAACATCTATTGTGTTAATGTAACCTGCTACTGTGATAAAATAATCAGTAATCATCTATTCTGTTAATATTACCTGATATTGTGATAAAATAATCAGTAATAATCTATTGTGTTAATGTTACCTGATATTGTGATAAAATAATCAGAAATCATCCATTGTGTTAATGTTACCTGATATTGTGATAAAATAATCAGCAATCATCTATTGTGTTAATGTTACCTGATATTGTGATAAAATAATCAGTTTTTATCTAATGTGTTAATGTTACCTGATATTGTGATAAAATAATCAGCAATCATCTACTGTGTTAATGTTACCTGATATTGTGATAAAATAATCAGCAATCATCTACTGTGTTAATGTTACCTGATATTGTGATAAAATAATCAGTAAACATCTATTGTGTTAATGTTACCTGATAAAATAATCAGTAATAATCTATTGTGTTAATGTTACCTGATATTGTGATAAAATAATCAACAATCATCTACTGTGTTAATGTTACCTGATATTGTGATAAAATAATCAGTAATCATCTATTGTGTTAATGTTACCTGATATTGTGATAAAATAATCAGTTATCATCTATTGTGTCAATGTTACCTGATATTGTGATAAAATAATCAGTAATCATCTATTGTGTCAATGTTACCTGATATTGTGATAAAATAATCAGTAATCATCTATTGTGTTAATGTTACCTGACATTGTGATAAAATAATCAGTAATCATCTATTGTGTTAATGTTACCTGCTACTGTGATAAAATAATCAGTAATCATCTATTGTGTTAATGTTACCTGCAACTGCGATAAAATAATCAGTAATCATCTATTGTGTTAATATTACCTGATATTGTGATAAAATAATCAGTTTTCATCTAATGAGTTAATGTTACCTGATATTGTGATAAAATAATCAGTAATCATCTACTGTGTTAATGTTACCTGATATTGTGATAAAATAATCAGCAATCATCTACTGTGTTAATGTTACCTGATATTGTGATAAAATAATCAGTAATCATCTACTGTGTTAATGTTACCTGATATTGTGATAAAATAATCAGTAAACATCTATTGTGTTAATGTTACCTGATAAAATAATCAGTAATAATCTATTGTGTTAATGTTACCTGATATTGTGATAAAATAATCAGCAATCATCTACTGTGTTAATGTTACCTGATATTGTGATAAAATAATCAGCAATCATCTACTGTGTCAATGTTACCTGATACTGTGATAAAATAATCAGTAATCATCTATTGTGTTAATGTTACCTGATATTGTGATAAAATAATCAGTTATCATCTATTGTGTCAATGTTACCTGATATTGTGATAAAATAATCAGTAATCATCTATTGTGTTAATGTTACCTGATATTGTGATAAAATAATCAGTTTTCATCTAATGTGTCAATGTTACCTGATATTGTGATAAAATAATCAGTAATCATCTATTGTGTCAATGTTACCTGATATTGTGATAAAATAATCAGTTTTCATTTAATGAGTCAATGTTACCTGATATTGTGATAAAATAATCAGTAATCATCTATTGTGTCAATGTTACCTGATATTGTGATAAAATAATCAGTAATCATCTAATGTGTCAATGTTACCTGATATTGCGATAAAATAATCAGTAATCATCTATTGTGTCAATGTTACCTGATATTGTGATAAAATAATCAGTAATCATCTATTGTCTTAATGTTACCTGATATTGTGATAAAATTGCATGATAATCTATGAAAACAATATTACTCTGCATTAATACAACAGGATATTGGATTATTTTAAAAAAAAAACATCTAATAATATTACAAACTACAAGTAAAGATCATCTCAATTCACTAATCCTTTTGTAACAGTCAAATCCAGGAATGTTACCAAAAAAGTCATGATTAAATGAAAACTAGAATATGGAAAAAGTCAGCCAGGAAGAACATGATTATAAACAACAGGGGAGAAACTGTGGGGACAAAGCCTTCATCTGCAAACAAAAACATGTACAAAGACAGAACAGATAATAATTTAACAACACAAAAAGGCTGTATCAACAACCAATTTAGTTAACAGTCTGGTTATCTGATCATATGGTGAACCTAGAGGGAACGCTGTTTTGTGATCTCACTGGGTGGCCAAGATAACTGGAGTTTTATGTAATTAACATCAATATCCTGGGAATGGTACCGACAGAACTGCAAGAGTCAATAAAGATTCGAGGTCTTGGTATCAGCTGGTTTGGGGCAGTACTTAACTAGAGGATAACAGACAAAGGCAGATTAATAGTAATAATAATAATAATAATAATAATAATAATAATAATAACAATCTTCTTCGTGTTAACGGGCTGTAAACTCCGACAAAAAGATAAAGTTGTACATCCACTTCTGGACTCTAGTCCTGTTCCAGAACCTAAGTGCTGTGTGCATATCCATTCTACAGTTCTGACTCATATGTATGCAGACTATTGGTTCCTTGCCTTTCAGGCTCATGCACTCTAATTTTGAAGGAAGCCCCCAGTTAGTTGACTCTTATGACATGCTTTTGGATAGGCAGTGGGTCTATTTTTGTTTTCCCCACAATGGGACCCCAGATAATAAAGTAAAAGTAAAGATCCCTTTTCACGCCTTAGGTGCATCGGGTATATATCATGAGCGTCCCATATTTTTACAGATCAATCGGCACTGGATGGGTAATGTGGTCAGCATTACGCCGGCAGTCTTTACCTCCCCAGTACAGCCATCCTGGTACCCATTTTAGGCTGGGTCAACCTGCGAAGCCCCATACCATGATAAATATCCACGCAGCCAGCAGTAGGTTTCGATCGCCGTACGTTGGATTACGACACCATTCTATACCTGTGTGCTTGAATGGAAATATTGTTGCAGAATCCATTAAATCATGCATAGTGATTTTACTGCAAACTGATACTGTTGACTGAATGGGTCTGCTGCTGGACAGCCTCATAGATGGAACTGAACTAAGTATCTCAGAATTACAAGCCATGTTCGCAACCCTTAGTTCACGGACACCGACTTGAAGGTAATGGGAAACATTAGTTCCTCAAGATTTCACGTTTCTAAACAAATCAAAGACACAAAAACAACGCGAATAGCTGTTTAACTAATGATGTGAGAATTGTTGAAACAAACAATGGATTCTTTTAAATCATGGTGTGTGTTTCCTTCAGCTTGTTCTGTCCTAAATAATTGTTGGTGAAGTAACAAAAGATTTTATATGAAGGTGCTCACAACATCACATCATACATGGCAACCGAGCGTGCCCTAGCTCGGATACAGATCACCTGCTAACACGTGGCGCTTAGCAGCAGAAAAACAAGACAAGGACAAAAAAAAAAAAAAAGAAACAATTTCCTCGGGCATTTGTTTTTGGAATGCATTTGACTTTCATTCCACCTCTCTAGAACAAGCAACGGAATCAGTAGAGAAACAAGATTATTATGGCCTGGAGAGAATGAGGCACCTAGGTGTAACCAGAGGGTTTGGGCGGCTCACTGCACTCAGAGGAAAGGCAAGTCAGACATATAACCAGATTGTGACCGGTAACATTAGTATTGA